TTCATATCAACACACGTCTTCACAGTATCATAGCATCGAGTCACGAACAGAGCAGTCAAGAAAAAGAGGAAAAAACTTTTTAAAGGAGTGATCATCCCATTTCAAACTCATAAATTCGGCAACACCTTTCAAATATAAATAGAAGATCAGTCAACATGAACACGGCATACAAATAATGATCGTCACAGCTTCAATCATCACACAAAAAAAAATTTTGACAGAGCACACAGAAATGAAACAATATAGAAATATAGAATTCATAACACGCATATGATCAGTCACACTTTTTCGCACATTTTCACATTCGTAGGACGCAATGTCGAACAACAACACATATCAATTTTAGAGAACGAGAAAAAAACACAAGTCATCGGTTACACAAGCTTAGTATAATTTTAACCATAAGTAGACATAAATATTCTAATTCATACAGGATAGAAACTCTTGTCTAGTGCATAAACGATACCTAGAACGGTTTCTTGTTTTGTCTTACTTACTAGATTATTACAAAAACGAACACATAGCTTATAGAAAAATATCGCATCATATTTCGATTATCTACATGATCGAACATAAAAGATTATCATTTAACCCATCTTTTTCGTTTTAAATTCTTCACTGGCTTCAGACCTTTTAAGAATAACATTTTCATTTAATTTTATGTTTCTTCTAATATTTGATTGTTACGCATCGTTAGTTAGCAAGATGTTCAGCTGAATAACTGTTGGTGGTGATTGACAACACGAAGTGAATATTGATGATGAATGAATATCAATTGTTTACAGCTGATACACAATCAATTTCATGTTCATCGATATCCATTTGTTCTGTTGCTGCTTCTTTTTTTTTTTATTTTGTTTTGGTAGAGAAAATAAATTTGAATTACGTGAGAAATGACTCAGGGATTCGAGGAGAAATGACATGAAACGTACAGATATTACAAAGGAAAGTGCGCCAACCCTACGCACTGCCGGCCCGCTATCTAGCCGCCCTTTAGTACGTCCACTGATGGTCTGTGACAGTGCCCCACAGACTTAAAACACTGCCATGTCATTCAACTCTAATCGCCGCATGCATTCATCACTCATTCAAATTATTTATCATACCTTGATATTCACTTGTATCTTCAATGGAAGTTTGATAATTTTGAATTCTTCTTGATTCTGGAATCTCCCAACTTCGTTTCAGAATATGCATGTATTCGCTCGCCAGGGTCGACATGTAACGATAAGATATGATATCGTGTATTCAACTGCCTTTATTTCAATCTATCCATTCCTTTTATATTTCTCTTTCCTTTCCACGCGAGTCAATCAACCGTGGCGGAATGAAGAGAAGCAGCGAGAGAAATAAAGAGACACAGAGAGAGAAAAGAAAGAGAGAGAGAACACACGGGAGAGACAAGATATACATACAGGGATAATTATGCACACAGTTGTTCACTAAGATAGAACAAGTGCCTATCTCGGCACAATATGTTTTATTCAAAATAGCAAGCATTTATAATAGAGAGAAGTTCACATTTTTCTGAGATATTTCTTAAAAAATTGAATACTGTAAAGGGTAATTCACTTATTTCTACTTGTTTTCCTCAGTTTATTGTATTTCTGCGAAACGTCGAAAACTTTTAATTCTATATAATTAGATAGTGCATTACTTATCTTATCCAATTATATAATTTTTATTTGTTTTATCAGATGTCTTGAATAATAAATTTAAAAAGTCCCAAAACTAGCTTAAAAAAACACTTTTGCAAACGTCTGCTTGACTCAGACCGAGTTCTATTGTCGCAAAAGTAATCTTAAATGAAAGAGATCCTTCATACATAAAGTTGGACCAAGTATCGAATGAAAATATCTGGAATTCGAACAGAAAATAATTTTTTATTATGGAAATTTTAGGCACTTTCGTACTACTTCTTTTCTGGTGCTGTTCATGTAATCTTAAATTTAGCTATAAGATTTTATAATCAAATGAGACTAAATTTGCATGAATCAGTAGAGAAACGGCTGCTCTATGGAACAGTATATTAATGGAAAAGACTGATATAGCTAGAGAGCTGTAATTTACTCGACAAAAATAAATAATTGAAAGTTTATTCAAACAATTTGCGAAGCATTCACTAAATTTTCAGTCAAAGTGGAAAATAAAGTGATAAAAAAATATATAGTTCGATAGAGTAATGAATTCTCTATCTAGCTTTTTAAAAATGAAATATACTCATTTGTCAAATACATCATGATTACTCGAATTACTCGACGAAAACATCTCGAAATTCCGCAGAAAAAAAGTTCTTTTTGCCTGCTTCACGAAATTTATTCATTTTTTGACCAACATGTAAGACAAATCAAATGAAAACTATACCGTTGGAGAGAGTAATCAACGCTCCATCTATTCACACAGAAAAAAATTTCTGACGTTTTATAGAAATACAATAAACTGAAGAAGATTAGTAAAGATATGTGAATCAGACTATATAACTTTCATGCATTTTGAAAAATGTTTGTTTCGCGAATTCGATCGTTACTGTAATGTGTCGATTTGCTGACTTCTTTTCTTCATTTCAGTTTTGAATATGAAATCGAACGGCATTAATAATTGAGTAACTTTGACAATGAAAGATGATAAATGATATAGTTTTGTGCCCACTACTTCGGAATCGCGAGTTCCTATTTGAATGAATAATACAGTTTCGAGTCAACCATTTTAATTCTGTTTCGAGAAGCTATCATCTTCAGCATTATGTTCTTCCAAAACAAATTAATGTGTGTTTATTTCTACAATCATTTTATAGTCAAGAGATAGAAATTTTAATAAGTGTAAGAACTTTTTACGGTGCAGTGTTTCTTAAAAGTATCTTAGAAAAAAGGAGCAGCTAAAAAACCGCTTTACAACAGTACTGCAAAAATTTTTACTGTCTTTCGTGTCTTGAACTTCGGTACGTCCGTGGGAGCTGTGCCCCCCTCTAGCTTTATTTTCTGGTGACACCACTAGCTCAACTTCTTGTTCTTCAACTCCACAAGACTGGGGGCAGAGCTCCCTACGAGAATTTTCTGGTTACGCCCCTACTAAAATATCTTAAATTTTTGCTTAAAAGCACCTATAAGTGCACAATTTAGATCACTTAAAAGTACTTCGAACATGTTTAAGCGCTTATCAGCCATTAGAGGTAGTTTTAAGCGAATATAGAAGCCATTTTAAGCCGCTTATAAATAGTTCACAATAAGAAAAACTTTAACAAGAGACATAATTAATTATTTATAAATTATTGATAGCGAAAATTTTAGCAAAACTTCTCCTGTTGTCATCAAAATATCAAAAAGTTCATATTTTGATGTTTAGGCTTCGTAGAGGATTTATGAAAAATATTTAATTTCTCAAGAATAGAAGAAGCTTGTCCAAAACTCATGCTTATTATTTTTGGCATATACGTATATGACGGTTATAACTATGGAAAAAGAATTGATAATACATGTGCCTATGATGAGTTGATGTCTTTGGAAGGTATCTTTCTTTTTTATATCGAGTTTTATTGGACGTATCAATTAAAATAGTTGGAGAACATAAAACCAAGATTAAATATAAAAAATGGCAATATACTAGCTATATATTAAATAATAATAAATCACTTTAAGGCTATTTTGGGAATAATAGTATTTTCGAAATTTTTTCATAGAAAAATCGATCTGAAAATGTTAAAAACAACATTTTTACAGGTAACTCGACGAGCTCTATCCAATCATGCCAAAAAAAATCGGCAAAAAAGTTTGTGGAAATTTCGACTTGCCGGCATATTGTATTTCACTTCTTTAGTATCAGTATTCATCAAGAAAACGAATTATCGACCATTCAAACATGATGTTAATGAAATACTAAATGTATATCTTCAAAATAATATTCTTTTACTGATAATCCTCGATTACTAAACAACAATATAGTTAGAACCATTAACAATAATATTTTCTATACGAACATACGACTTAGATATATTCTCAAAGATCTTATGAAAGGACGATGAGATTTCTCAAGATATTGTCTTTTTCACAAAAAAAAAAAACATTAATCAACTATTAGTTCATATGTTGATATTTCAATAGACATTTTCATTAAATATTCAAAACAAGTTAATTGATATGTATTGATAAAAATCTAAATCCTTTCATATATGTATATTTTAATGGGATGTGGGTGTTCCATTGTCCAACCAGACCAACACTCACACTAACACGCCACCCCTCACAATTTGATAATTTTGATGCTTTTTTTTTAAATACTCTTTTCATGCAAAACTTTTCTATTCAGAACCTATTTAAATGTACAATTCGTTTTGTTTTGTCTTTTGTAGGAAAGAAATTGGAATTCTTACTTAGTAAACGTGTTATATAAATGAGGTTAAAAATATACTAATTCTTAATTGTGTTTTTCAATGAAATATTTACACAAGATATTGGTCTTCAATGAATAAAGTGATTACTTTTTATATGAAATTTGCTAATCAATATACTTCATATTTATTTGTTGAAGAAAGTCATTTCATGCTGACTCATATGAAAACATATACTAGTTCATATCATGTTTAGTTTACTTTCACTGTCGTTAATAGTATTATTATTTATATATAGTCTTCATTAATAAAAATTTTTGTTTTAAGAAGTGGCAGAAGTCACTAGAGAAAACATTTCTCATAATCGTCGACCAGAACATTTTAATAAGCTGTGTATATCCTATTTTCATAATCTATTTTCCTTTTGTATTCCATGTATAAACAACATTACAAATCTAATAGGATTACATTCATGACATGTATGAAAACTTTAATATCACATGCTCACTATGGTATGATTTCTAATAATATCATATCAATAATGTTTTATTTAAATGTCAAGGAATTTTATTCCGATGATATTTATTAATGTGATAGTTTAAGAGATTTTACAAAATGATTCAAAACAATTGTGAAAAACTTTTTTTTGTTTTTATTAAACATAGTAGAATAAGTTTTATTGACAAATTATTTTTCGAATGATGAATTGTCGAAAATTTATCATAGTTTTTCGAAAAACATCTCCACCACTTAAAGTATTAACATAAAATTGCATTCCGAATGCAAAATAAGTCATAAGAAGAGTAATTTGATAAACAAAATCTTCAATTGTTATTTTTAATGGAGATTTTTCAATATTCATTGTTAATGTTGCATAAAGTTTTTGAATAGCAACAGGAAAAGTTAGAAAAGAAAAAAGAATTGCTTGAATGAAAAGCATAATAAAAAGATGATGATCGATTTTTTTAAATCGTTGTTGTTGATGATGACTGACTAATTCCAATGGACTACCTACAATATTAACTCCAATAGCAGGTTTAATACGATTATGACTTAAACGAATATTTAAAATAGTCATCCAACCAAATATTACAATTAATATCAGAGGTAAAAGAATTGTAAGTATAGCAAACGATAAATCATTTATTAATCGACATACTGTATTTTTATTGAAACATTTTAAAGGTGTATTATTCAAAGATGATTCATAACAATAAAGAAGTTGAGAATGAATAGTCAATGATAATAATGTTAACAGAAAAATACTGCGTACAACATTTTTATATGAACTTAAACGTCGAAAACGTACATTAGTAGATGATATAAGCCATCGATCAATAGTAGCTAACATAAGTAACCAAAATGTTAATGATCGAAAAGCAAATAAAACGAAACCACGAAATTTGCATACATGTAATACTTGAAAGTTGAATTCAACTATTCAACTATTAGTTCAACTATTCAATAATTGAATAATTGAATAGTTGAAGTTTCAACTATTCAACTATTCAATAATTGAATAATTGAATAATTGAAGTTTCAACTATTCAACTATTCAACTATTCAATTATTGAATAATTGAATAATTGAAGTTTCAACTATTCAACTATTCAATAATTGAATAATTGAAGTTTCAACTATTCAACTATTCAACTATTCAATAATTGAATAATTGAAGTTTCAACTATTCAACTATTCTCCTTTTTACACAAAGGATCACTTTTTTACAAAAAAAAAATTTTTTTTATAAGGGTTGACCGAAGGGTGATCGGGGTCGAGGAACTCGAATCTGATGTTAGTTTTTTCAAATTATTTTTCGGATCGATTATTTTACACAAAGGATCACTTTTTTTACAAAAATTTTTTTTTTTTATAAGGGTTGACCGAAGGGTAATCGGGATCAGGGAATTCGAATCTGATGTTAGTTTTTTGAAATTCTTTTCGGGTCAAATTTTTTAGACAAAGGACCACTTTTTTTTTTACAAAAAATTTTTTTCTATAAGCATTGACCGAGCGGTAATCGGGGTCGAGGAACTCGAATCTGAGGTCAGTTTTTTAAAATTATTTTGTGGATTATTTTTTTTACACAAAGAACCACTTTTTTGCTAAAACAAATTTTTTCTATAAAGCTTCATCAAAAGTAATCGAGGTCGAGGAACTCGAATCTGAGGTCAGTTTTTTGAAATTATTTTGTGGATCATTCCTTTATACAAAGGACCACTTTTTTGCTAAAAAAAATTTTTATTCCCTTTCTCGGAAGTATAGGAGGTATTCTTGGTATAGGTAGTAAAGGACCTATCACAGAGAGACGCGTCACTTCGGAGTTCATTGCACATTGTCTATATCCTATTCTCAAGCGTTTCATTAGATGTCCCACCACATTTCAACCAGATCAGCGATTCAACTCATATCATTTACACTAATAGGTGACATTTGAAAACAAAAGAAACAAGTGTCCCTACCTGTTGATTCCATGTACCTGCCCCTCATGGAACGACTTGTAGGGAGTACACACACCTTTATTTCCGTCCCGGCGCGTGGTGGCCCGAAGGGGCACCCGAAGAGCGCCGGCAAGTCACGTCTATCTTGATAGGATGCGCATGAACTTAGTTTCTGTAAAAAAAAAGAAAAAACTAAGCATTCCCACCTCTTGCTCACGTATTTGTCCCTCATGGAACGACTTGTAGGGAGTACACACACCTTTATTTCCGTCCCGGCGCGTGGTGGCCCGAAGGGCCACCCGAAGAGCGCCGGCAAGTCACGTCTATCTGGATAGGATCTGCAAGAACTTAGTTTCTTTAAAAGAAAAGAAAAAGCGAGGCGTTCGTACCTCTTGCTCATATACCTAGTCGTCATGGAATGAGGAAGATGCCTATATGGGCAGGCGATGGATTTTTTGTGGTCACAGCAATGGTCCGAAAATGTATAGCAGTAGCTAGGAATGGAGAAGTCTCAATTATATAGGAAGATTCTGAGCTATGATGGAAAGATATAGGAAAAAATGTGCGGTAGAAACATGTTTAGATACCTTATGAACGCTGGGATAACGGGACAGTTGGTGTAGGATTCGTTTGTCCGTATTTTCAATCAGACAAATGAAAGTATTTTCGATTTGGAATAAACGATGCTAAATTTTTTAGAACAACGAAAAAATCTTATGTGTCTGATTTTCAATTGTTTTAAACATACATGTTATATAACTATTAGAAAATCAAATAGAATGAAGGAGCATATGATGTCTTCTAAGAATATCCCCGGAAACTCGATTATAACCTAGGGTAAGAGATATAGAGATAGATAGGTATAAGAGATATACAGATAGATAGGTATAAGAGATATAGGAGATATAGGAGATTTCGAGATATGGGAGATATGGGAGATATTGATTACCTAGTGTAGATAATCTTTATATAGTGCTTGACTTTGAATAGTGATCTATTCAGATATATTCATTCAACTTATCGACCCTTGCTCGAAAAAATCATAAAAAAAAATAAATAACTGTTTATTGTGTCTCCTATATCTCATTCAACTTTTATCGACCCTTGCTCGAAAAGATCAATGATAAAAAATAAGAAACTGTTGACTGTGCCTCCTATACCTTCTATATCTCATTCAACTTATCGACTCTTGCTCGAAAAAATCAATCATAAGAAAATAAATAATTGTTTACTGCGTCTCCTATATCTCCTATACCTCCTATATCTCCTATATCCCCTATATCTCTATACCTCCTATATCTCCTATATCACCTATATCTCCTATATCTCCTATACCTCCTATACCTCCTATACCTCCTATATATCTATCTACCTCTTACCTTAGGACATAATCGAGTTTCCGGGGATATTCTCCGAAGACATGTAATCCAAAATGAATTTTCGAAAAATATACTTTCGCTTTCCCAAGACAAAAAACTGTCCCCACGAAAAAACCGAGATCCGAAAACACAAAGATGAAACCACGGAAACACAGAATCGGGTTTCGAAAACATTGTCAAGTGTCGATGTGGGTGTCGGGGCGGGTTCGTAAAGATGTGGGTGGCTCAAAACGTGTCACACGCGTCTGCCAAGTTGTGTATCCCGCAAAAGGACTCACATGCCCCCTCCCCCATCTGTGAATGCTACGAGAGAACGGGTTACGGAAGGACAAGTCAGGAAACGTCAGACCGCGAAACGACTCGCCGAGAAAGGACTGAGAACAATGCGAGACACATCACATCGCAGCTGCTGCGAGTGCCACAAAATGACCGATCGCGAAATGACTGGCTGCAAAACAACTCAGAACAATAGGACACATATCACGTCGCACCTGCTGTGGGTGCGGTGAAAGGACTGAAATCAAAAGGACACACATTATGTCGCAGCTGCTGCGATTGCTGCGAAAGGGCGCTTCGAGAAAAGACTGAGAACAATACAACAGACATCACAGCGCACTTGCTGCGGGTGCGGCGAAAGGACTGGCGGAGAAGGGTGTGGGTGTTGGGTGTGGGTATGGATATGGGTGTGGGTGTGGATGTGGGTGTGGGTGTGGGTGTGGATGTGGGTGTGGGTGTGGGTGTGGGTGTGGGTGTGGATGTGGGTGTGGGTGTGGGTGTAGGTGTGGGGATGGGTGCGGTTGGGTGTGTGTGGGTGTGGGTGTGGGTTTGGATGGTTTTGTGATCTTCTCCTTACCCGTACCGACCACCGCACCCAATTGTTTCTTATATTTATATAAATTTTTCTAGAAGGTACCAATGAGCTAACTTCATTGTGGGGTTAAAAAGTGACACTAGCAGGATCTCTTTGTTTCCCAATTTCTAAACGATCGTTTGAAGTAGCAGTCATTTCAAGAATCACATCAAACCATTCGTAGACAAGTGTACGACAATACGAGTTGATGGAAAATTTGATTTTGTGATAGATTATAATTCTAGAGATGGTCTACTCAAGATTTTAACATTATTCGAAAAAAGGTGGATTTTTTTAAATGGAAAAAAATTATTTTATGTACGGTCGAAATAGTCAAAAAATCAGTAGTGTCAAACTTGAAAGTTGAATTCAACTATTCAACTATTCAAAGTATATGATGGTCTCCAGGGTTCTCTGTCACGGTCTGTGATGGTCTCCTGGATTCTCTGTCACGGTCTGTGATGATTTCTAGGGTTCTCTGTCACGGTCTGTAGTGGTCTCCGATGTTCTCTCTCATGGTCTGTGATAGTCTGTAGGGCTCTCTATCACTGTCTGCCATGGGTATGAATTTTCTCTGTCACGGTCTGTGGGTGACGGGAGCGAGTGGATCCAAAATTTCTACCTTATACACTTCAACACTCGGTTTAGATCGTGTTTCACAAAAGATCTGATGTGTCACTTAGGTATTTATTGAGTTAATATTTAATTTTCAATTTAAGTAAGGTGCACCAAATGCAAAAGTGTAGCATAAAAAGAAAGTTTTTTTATTTTATACATCGTTAGATAGAGCTCGTCGTGCTGAATCTGAATATGTATGATTTTTTGTATTTTGAGCATGTTTTCGGGGAAAAACGTCAAAATACTGTAAAAATCTGAAAAAACCGATCAATAGGTACCGTTCAGAAAAATAAGATTTTTTTCGCTTATATCTTCGTTATTTCTTTCTGAAACTTATTGAAGTGTATAAGGTAGAAATTTTGGATCCACTCACTCCCGCCACCCACAGACCGTGACAGAGAAAATCCATACCCATCACAGACAGTGATAGAGAGCCCTAGAGACTATCACAGACCATGACAGAGAACATCGGAGACTAGGGGTGTCAGTTTTGCGTTCCGTTCCTAGGAACGGGAACGCAACATACATTTCTTTCGCTTTTAAAAGCTTTTCGAATTCAACGAAGAAAAAGAAAATTTCATAAAAATCATGAATTTTTATAAAATTTGTCCAAAGGTAATCGAGGTTAAGGAATCTAAATCTGCAATCAGTTTCTGAAAATTATGAGTTTGATTGCTCTTGTTAAGGCAAGGATATCTTCTAAAAATGACAATATTTTATAAAGTTTGAAGAAAGGAGATTGGGGTCGAGGAATCAGAATCTTCAGGTGATTTCTCAAAAATTCCGCGTTCGATTTTTTTCATTAGAAAATAGATTTTTAATAGAAACAGTTTTTTTTTCAAAAAGATTCCTTTTGTTAAAAACTCAGTTTTTTTCATTAACAGTGTCTTTTTGGTAAAAAAACAAACTCAACATTTTGACAAACAGCTTATAGATTGAGATATCTCGATCCCGATCACCTTTCGTCAGACTATACGATATCGTTATTTTTAGAAAATTACTTTGCCCTCTGTTATGAGTTGTTATCAGCGACACAGCAGCGTGATAGTATGACAACAGAACA